TATCCCCGATAAGGTCGACCGAGGTGCACATTACGGCACTTAATGCCACTGTACAATGTAACACCTACTTTTCATGTACTGTGAGTTCGTATGCGCTTTCGAAGTTTGCTTTTAGCAATGGTCCACCAGTTATTTTCTGTTTTAAACATTATATTTCTTTGTATAACGAAAACAGTACCATTTTACTTCGAGACGAAAACGAAATAGATTTCACGTAATGCGTAGAAGAAACTTTAAACCTCAATTCCAGCAATGACATCTTTTTGCCATCGACCCTCACGACAGCATATGCATCCCCATCATATAGATGGTCGGCACTGAACTGTGACACGATATTGATAAACAGAGGGTTCTAGGTACCTTATAAGCATCCATTTCGACCCTCAACTTGCTCTGCGTCCACTTTAGTCGTCCGTCCAGTTCGCGCATATCTTCCCTGACTTTGGCCAGCTCTCGTTCGCTGGTCATCAGCTCGTGGCACTGGAAATATAAACAAATTCACATCAAACCAATTTATTTGCTGAACAAAGGTGTGTAGTACATGACCATGATAACACGGAGTAAACGGAAACGCTAGCAAAAACAGGTATTCCACTTACCCAGTGTCTCAGATATACAGGTATAAATAAATATCTGTCTCGTTTACAGAGGGTTCCATTAATAGAGGTGGACTTGGAATTACGTGTGGAATTTGTGGGTAGAATAAAAATGAGTAAACAAATAATGTTATCTCAGTTATAGAGGTAACTATGATGATAAATCGAAAGAACAAATTCCAGATATAGAGGCTTACCTCGTCTTACTAACAGAGGTAATCCAGTGGCAAAGTGTTAGAACCTTAGCATTAGTTCCAGTTATGGAGGTTTCTCACTTATCCAGGTCCTACTTAACCAAGGTTCACTGTATTTACATAAGCCGGTAAACGAGCAGACGGATCACCTGATGGTAAACAATAGGCGTCGCCCATGGACACCCGAAACACCAAGGCGTTACAAGTGCGTTACCGGCCTTTTGGGAATTGGGAATTTGAGGATTGTGAAGGATTCGGGAGACTATTCGAATTCGGGAAGGGTCGTGTGACTGCGGTTACCGGAGGCCCAATTACCCTCCCCTTCCCCAATCTCCCCAATCCTTGAATCCCTAACGATCCTCAAACTCCTAATCCCCAAAATACCGGTGACGCACTTGTAACGCCTCTGGTGTTCCAGGTGTCCATGGGCGACGCCGATTGCTTACCATCAGGTGATCTGTCTGCTCGTTTACCGGCTTATGTCATAAAAAAAAGAATAGTTTTCATCCCAGAAATCCCACGGGTACGGAAACAATGCTGTTTCATAATTACAACTTTCTTTCAATCCATACCTTATCATCATACAGCTGACAGATCCTATGTTTCTCAGCGGCTGCAGACTTGAGCTTGCCGTTCAGCAGTTCCACTTCAGCCTGAGCAGCCTTCTCGGCCTTGGCAGCGTTCTCCGCCGACCTCTTAGCCTCAATGGCCGCGCATTCGACGCTGGCATACCTCATCACGGCTGCATCCTTCTCCCTTTCAGCGTGGTCCACACGTTTACCCATCTGGAAAATACAAATCAATCTATATATCTAGTACTTAAAAAACTGAAGAATTTGTTTGTTTGAAGGCGAAACTGGTACGAATTTAATAATTATTTTCAAGGTAGGGATACAGTAGGGGGATAAAATGTTCAAAGACATGTATCGGCGACATATACGGTGACAACGCGCAACTTATGTCCACGGCGATGTTGAAGTTGCCAGACTGGCAACGTCAACATCGCCTTCTCTGAACAATTTATGATTCAAGTCATAGATGAAATTTCACCCATAGCCCGCGTCGCGTTGGGTTCCGCGTGCGCCTCAAAGAGCTATCGGACCACCACGGATCGGCATCAGCCCTATGCCGACACGAAGCCGCGGAGGGTTTAACGGGTTGCCGGGGTCCTGGCCTGAAGGGCAGGAGTAGGAACGGGTTGGTTTTTAGCCAGTAAAAGTCTGACACTCTCTCACCTCACCCGGGCAGCAGAAGTCATTGGATAATTTTCCCCCCTTAAAAAAAAGCCTCCTAACTATCGCAACATTCAAACCAATCATAAAACGCTCCGTTACAATGTGAAAGAATGCAAAACAAATACTTGCACATTAATTAATATTAGTTTTGATAAAGACTAGTAAACATGCATACAACAATACGATATCGTACTGTCTAACCGTGCGGTTTCATCCGCTGCTTTAAGGTCATCAGCAGATACTTAACAAGCACGGCTTCGGCACGTCTTAGGGTCAATTTATACCAGGGCAGAGTCGAAGCGCACCGAAGCGTCAAATTCTTCACAACTAAAGCGAAGCCGCACGAATGCGCGCGTTTTCGAGAGTATACGCGCTCTCCCTTTGACGAGTAGTAAGTAATGAGATGGATTATATAGGCATTAATATTTTTGCACCAATAAATTAATTTTTCGTCCGAATCCATTCGCCAGTGGGCGCGTGAGTTCGCGAGAATACGCGCGAACAAATCAGCGTTAGTCACGCGCAGACGTGCGAATTACGAAGAAAGCGCGCGTCTTTTTAAAGTCTCAGAAGTAATGCGTGCGTTACACTGTTGGGTTAAGTTTGAATTTGTTATGTTCAGTTTCGGTTCTGCCCTAGTATAAATTGACCACGGATTCGGCATGGCATTTTTGCTTTGGAGACAATACAAAAAGGTTGCACGCGATAAAATGCGGCGCATTCAGCTTAGTAGTAGTATAAATTGCCTTGTTGGTCGCAAGTGCTACTGCTGTATTCAGCTCAGGAAGAGAAGGTTTAGATTCCGACTGAGAAAATATTATTGCCTTTTATAAAGTTACAAAATTCTAAAGCTTACATTTTTTACTGTTTTTATTACATTAACTTTAACTAAGCACCTTTGCCTACGCCAAAACGTTTAAAAAATAAAAATGGCATAATAACATTTTACATATTTTTATTTTTGACCTTCGTTGAGAGCTTCCATTTCAATTCAGAAGCACAATAGTGTCATACACTAGTATCAATACTACGTTATCAATAATGCCATTTAGATAAATGCTTGCTACAGGCTTAAATGAGTAAAAATAAATATTTACTACCGCGCTGTTTCACTCTGCTCGGCGCCTATTGACTGTTGCGTGATGTTCTGTAGCCTATAACATACAACATCACATCCTTTGTCCCTGAAGGGTTAGGCAGACATGTACATTACGGCACTTAGTGCCACTGTACAATGTAACGACCACTTTTCACTATTTATGTTATGAGTCTCATGTAATCAGGGGTGAGCGTATTGCTGTATATCAGGCACAATTCCAGAATCCGTGCTACTACTGAGATTTTTTTACATTTGCGACCAATGGACCAATGATGCAGCTATATATCCTTATAGTCTTCCTCGATAAAATGACTATGCAACACAAAAAGATTTTTTTAAATCGATCAGGAGTGCTGGAGATCAGTGCATTGAAACCAACAGATTCTTCAGTTTTATAAGATATAGAGAACCTTGTTTGAGACCTTGATTTAAATTTAGTAGCAAAATACATTTCATAATTGTCATACTAGCTATCATAACATTATCAGTAAAGCCACTTAGATAAATGCTTACTACAGTAAATGGACAAATATAAATATTTAATATTTTTTCTGCAAATACTACCAGCTAACAGGGCCACATTTCTGTGTGGCCACAAGAAATCCACCCTATAACTACAGTTCTCCTTTTGTATAGGTAAAACTTACAAACTGACAAACACACATTTTAACTTAATAAAAGCCTTCACTCACCATATCCAGTTTAACCTCCAATTCCTTAAACGTCATATCTTTTTGCTGCAAATCATCACATTGCTGTTTCACTCTCTCTCGTAATGACACATTCTCCTTTCTCTGTTCAGCTAGAAGTCTTTCCAAAGACTCTATTTGTAGCCGCAAAATATCTTTCTTTGCATCCGTAGAGTCCGAACTATCTGAATCCATTGATTTTAGTACCGAGTCTATGTTAGAATTAGAATTTGGTATATTTTCTTTGAAATCTGTAATCTCCGGTTTTTCTATGACATCAGTTTTTATGTCTGTACTCTCATCTTCAAATATATCATTCATTAGTTTGCCATTGGGTAAATTTTTGGTGGATTTTGCTGGTTTCTGGGCATAGGCTGTTCGGTGTGTGTACGCACTCTTTAAGCTGCCGCTTACTGATGAGAAAATTCCATGTACATTCTTGACTATGCTGCCAATGTCCTGTGATAATAGTTCCTTTGGTATCCTTGAGTATTTCGGATCTACGTTAGTTACAGTTTCCGGAATTTTCTGTACAGCACTAGCTTTAGTTTTTTGGCTAGAGAATTGTGAAAGGATTTTATCTGCATTTAATTCTTTGTCGCTTTTATTAAGACTAGTATTTTCATTCTGTTTGTCAAAAGTTACATTTGTGATGTTTTCAGCGCTCTTGCTGAAGGGAGATTTGCAAATCACATTGTCAGTACACTGATTATCGTTCAAACTTATTGTCGAAGTGGTCAGTTTCTTATTGCTATTGTCATAACATTCTTGTTGTTTTAAATCATTTATTTCAAGTTTATCATCACATTTTTCTTGTTTTTCACTGATGGTCATGTTGTCTATGCAGTTTATTATCAACTCTTTGGCGAAATCCGCGTGTGTTTGTTGGGGGAATTCGAAGTTTAAGTTATCTATGGCCCCCTCATCAGACCCTGGGCTCGAAAGACTGCTCTCGTTAGACAAACTACCAGTCGAAGACCCATGACCTAAATCATCACTTGTAATATTTTTAATCGGAGAAATATCGGAATCAGAAGCTGGGAATGCAGCAGAGCTCGTGTCTAAAGTATCTACACCGGAATCACAAATATTTTCTCCCACTAATAAACCATTTTCTTTCACTTTTTCACTGACGTCGACAGACCCAATATGGACCCCGTTTTCTTCCGATTCCGTCGACATTTTTGCTTATAACACTCGCTATTTAACATCTAATTTATTTAATTTGATAATCATGAACGAATTAGCCATGAAGAAATTAAATTATTGATAATTTTATAATAAAAATAAACATCAGCAGTGTTTGACGTTACTTGTTATTTGTGGCCAGTCATATTTTTTCTGTAATGTTGCAAGAATGCAAGGTTTTAAAAAATTCCATAAGTGCCAATAGAAAAAGTGTAATATATTTTTATTGTTGTATTATAAGTTATTTATCAATAATTGAAAATCTTTTGAATAAAAGTAAAAAAAATCATTTGAATGTTTTATGCAAATGCAAACAATAACGTAAGGTGTTTTTTATCTGTGGTAATGTAATTATTACCCAACACAAAAAATGTTGTGCTTTGGTAGTATTTGTTTGAATATTTATGTAATGTGTAATTTAAACAATATTCTTTGTTTTTTTTTAAATTTATTATTTCAACGGTATTATAATAGTTTTTGTTACAACTGTATTTAATTCGATTAGTCATTAAAAGGATTGAAAAGGTTGGTGAAATAGAAGTTGTTGTGTTAGTGCCAGATTGGATTGCCAACCGTTGTTCATCTAACACTAATAGAGTACGCTAAAAATATTCTTTTTCCATAATGTTTACTTATGTAATTTTACGTCTGTAATAATATGCAAAGACCCATGATCGGAATAAAAAACTACAATTTAAAGTTAACACAGGCTGGCTTGTTTACAGCGGTCCAAAGACTTTTTTTAGGTTGAGAGCATCATAAGCGCCCATTTACAAAATAATTTAGTTCAGGGAATTTGCTAGTAATTCTTTTTAAAACTAATCCAATATTTAATTATTTAAACCAATACCACTCTGTTATGAAAAGTACTGGATCGAATTGAATGTTTAGTATAGACCTCGTGGAATAACCTATCCTGCTATAGGCTAACGTAATATAATAATCTATAAGACTGGTTTTGTTTTATTTAAAAAGAAAAATTATTCTTCTGCAAAAAGTACGTTTTTTTTATTACATTCTTTTTGTAGGTGCATCATACTCTTTATTTACCTCCTCAGATAATGTTCTATTTCTTCTAAAAAAAGTTGGCAACTCTAGCCGGCTGTTTTAGTCACAAATTCACAATAATAGTATTGTGACTAAAATAGCCGGCTCATTAGTCTACTACTAAAATAGCCTTGTCATCTTAAAATAGGCATCTTTGGAGTTCCTATTACTTGAATAACCTAAATGTCAATCAGCTTGATCCTATAACATTTAATCAAACCACCATACCATTGTCTCCTCAAGTAAAGGATCTAGGTTTGTATCTGGACAGCGGGCTCAACTGGAACCATCAGGTTGCTCAGATTGGCCGGAAAGTAACTGCCACGCTACGATCTCTCTACAGGTTCAAGAACTTTCTGCCACCAAATATCAAGACACTGCTTGTCCGCTCCCTTGTGCTTCCTGTTATTGATTATGCTGATGTTTGTTACTCCGGTCTAACCCAAGACTTTTTAAAAAAATTGGATCGAATGCTCAATGACTGTATCCGCTTTATTCGCGGTCTTCCGTCTTCGTAAATATGACCACATCTCTTCCTTTCGCGCTCAGCTTCAATGGCTTCTTGTCCGCGAGAGGAGATCCCTCAGATCCCTCTGCATGCTCTTCTCTATTCTTAATGATCGTTGTGCTCCAGAATACTTAAAATTCTGCTTCCAGTTATTAGGCATTTGCCACAACCGTGACCTTCGCTCGACGGACAACTTGCTTCTTGAAATACCTTCCCGCCGCACCTTTTTCATTTTTATTTCCTTTACAATAACTGTCAAACTTTGGAACGCGCTCCCCCTCAATATCAAAAAAGCTCCTAATAAAATCTCTTTTAAACATCAAGTTCACGAATTTTATTTCAAATCGCTGCAACGCATGATTTAGGTCTTCGTCGATATATATTTATGTATATATTTATACCTCTATATTTTATTCGTATGACTATATAAACTATTTAATATTATGTAATATATATGTATAGCTATATTATTTAATATAATAGCTAAGGTTGATTGGTAGAGAATGCCATATGGCAGTAAGTTCGCCTTATGTTCTATAATAAAATGTACATAAAAGAATAAATAAATTGTATTTATTTGTATGTTCTTTACAATCCATATTAACAATAAAACTTCAGCTTTAGACGATTTGATAAAAATAAAATCGTTAACAAACTACTTGCGTTTAAAATCAAAACACAATATCTTTAAATTGTTTCAATTAGCAAAATTAGAAATTAAAACTACATCAATTTTTAACACAGCCTTAGTTTTTTAGAACTGAACAAAAGTTTTCAGTAGAATATTTAAAAACGAAAACTTCCGGAAGTTCCGTATTGATTTTATGAAATGGTAGTTTTATGAAACTGATGCAATGGCAACTCTAGCAGAGAAAACGTCATGTCATTTCTATTCCGTTCGCCGAAGGAAATTGAAACGGAAAACTAGGTCGTCAGTATTGATTTTTGCAATATCCTTCAAACAAAGGCGCAGCTCCGCATTGTATAACGCTGCAAGCTTCATGAATTCCTGAAACCAGACAACACAAGGAAGAAATATGCCTGTAAGTACCACGTTATCATGTGATTTGATGATTTCCGGTTTACGAGATTCTTATTGGAATTATCGATTTTACTTCTTTTTAGGTTTTTACTAATTGTTCGTTGTTCCATATCGCTAATTTGGTCTAATCTTGACTAATTTTGGTGCAATCGCTCTTGTTTAGTTGGTGAGTCACGATTTAATTTGTGTCAGGGTCATTCTGGCTAGCATCGTGTTCGTGTAGGTACGTAAGTACTTACGATATTACGCATTAGGTTTTTAGCTATGAATTCGGCCATCTGCTTCAATATTTTAAGCCTTTTATCGAATTATATTGGCTTCAGCATCGAAAAAAGTAAGAAAACGTGTGAACTTAGGTTGTTAAATTTGAAATTTTGGACGCGCAACGGAACGTGTGGCGCCCGCGTTATCGATATTTTTAGACGCTTCCCTCTACGATAAATTTGCTTGTGCATACCTACTTATTTCATAACCTACAGAACTCGAGTTTTTTTGCCAAATTCCAATAAGATTCTTATTGCCTTTTTCTTGTAGATAGGAATCTATAAACTTTCATTTCTAACTATACCTGCGTATTATAAAATATGTATGGTACTTATATAAGGGCGTGTCATGCGATTATTCGCCCTTTTATTCCGCCATAATTCTGTTTTACAATTATTTATAGGCAGATAGCTAGATTATCCCTTCAACTTTGCTTATAATTGGCACCAACCACTTTCTGTTACTAACCTCTATGGCGATCCTAAGACACCAGTTACATTCTATGATATAAAATTTTCTAGAACATTCCTCACAGAATCTTATTTTCCCTTGTTTTCTCTAAAATCATCCAATGATGACTTATTCCCGCCTTGTGGGAGATCAGAGGGCGTGTCAGACGCTTACTGACTAAAAACCACTCCGTCCCTATTCCTGCTTCAAGCCGGAGCCCTGGTAACTCGTTAGGTAATGCAGAGCTCCTTTACCTACTTATAAATCAATAAGTACTTGCAATATCAGCATTGACTAAATATTTAATACACATATATGTACATCTATACTAAACTAAAACTGAGAATAAAAATGAAGAAAAGAAACTCAAATTAAATATATACCAATTTCAAAAGTATGTCTACAATGATAAAAAGCAAAAAACTTTAAAAAAAATATGACAAAGGCATGGACACAGTCCACAGAGAATTAATATTTAACTTTGAAAAAACAAAAGTTACAAGGCTCTATCAACTCCTTTGGTGTTTTTGGAGTCTGGGTAGCCCTAATTGCTTATCAATAAGTGATCAGTCTACTTGTTTGCCTTGCCCCTCTATCCTGTAGAAAATACTTTCATTTATTACTCCTATCAATATTATTATTTACTCATTTTTAATTTTCATCATATTGTACCACAAACTTAATTCTTTTTTTAGAAGGTCTCTCATGCAATAATTTTATTTCTTTGTTTTTTTAACTTAACTGCTTTGTATTTTTGCATTGTTATTAATATGTACCATGAATAGATTTCTTATCATAAATATAGGCGATAAATTGTTTTCTACAACATGGTCCTAATCTTTTTAACATCATCCTAATCAAGGATTTTTTTGCAAAAAATAACATGTCTATTTGTTGTCAATTACTGACTAAGTCTATAACTTTCCCTCTAAAATGGCATTATTAAAATGAAACCAAAAAGGTTACATTACACACTCCATAAAGGTTTTAACCACAGTTTTTTTATTGATTGCAACACTAAAGTTACAGCTACTGTTTGCGTTACCATGACAACATAGGTGTGCTAACATTGTGATGTAAGCTCATGATTTGTACTAAAATGTAAACATTTTCTCTTTGTGTTTCTTATCTATGCTTTATTATGTTCAGGAGATATTTTTTTATTCATCACTGTGAATTGGAAGTGAAAACTTCTTTAACTGTACTCTTGATAGATAGTTTGCTGTTAAAAGGCCTCATCATAAACTAAATGGCAGTGTTTAAGCTTTTGGAATTGAATTAACCCGTTGATATCCATCCCCTAAATTTGGTCATACAAAAGTATTCTCTAAACATTAGAAATAAGGTCTATAATGTAATGTAATATTAGTGGAAAGCGGTCACCGGTGACCGCTTGGGGATTTATGGGTTAAATGCAAAACAATATACTTTTACTGAGTAATATAATTTCAATTTAGTTCTACTTACATCTCAGATTATAATTTTGCATAGGTCGTCTGGTAGTTACACTTTAATACCTGAGTACTAAAAGGCTACTCAGTTTTAACTTGTACTTAAATATTGTCACATCTCTGTCACTTAACAAAGAATTTGTAGGGAAAAAACTATATTTTGAGCAAATTGGATAGCCTTTCAGTATTTCGACATAAGTCATACAAAAATACAACTGACCCATGCAGGAATATAACCAGAAACTTCATGTATGTGTAAAAATGTATCACAAATATCAATTTTATTACTAAAAGAAAACATCAATATGTGATTATTTTCAACAATGAATTGTCTAACTAACGTAGGTGGGACACCCAAACATATTTATTATCAAGTATTGTACAGTAGACAGGTCAACCTACTCATTTCTGTAAATTTTTCATTCGATTTTAAACTGTATCGTTTTAGATATAAAGTCGAAAATTCTGTGACAAAAAGAGAGTAAGTTGATGTGTTTGGCCAGTGTACTTGAAAAATGTAAAAGCAAAAAACGAACCTTGAATATTAACACAGAATCTTGTTTGTGTGCATAATTTTTTATCTATGCGTTCATCAATGGCGCAGTTTTATCTTGTTTCCGTAAAATATACCTTATTCTCTGCCCCTTAAGTAATATTTCTGTTAAAGGTAGCTCTTTTCCTTGACTTTATTACATATTCGATTCTAATACGGAGTTGTAGAGTTGATATTTGTGTGTAGGACGTCTAAGATGCATTTGCACGTGTATTCTTAGAGAATAATAATATGAAGTATGTAGGTATGTACAGAATCAAAGGTCACTTCTATTTCAATTATAAAGCAAATACCTACTTATGACAAAAAAAAAACTTGAACTCATCTCTTGTTATACTAATTTGTTGAATGAATACGTCTTCCTCAAAACCCCTTCTCCTTATAAGGCTTTTTTATTTCCGATGTCGATGCGGGGGTTCAAGACAATTGTTACATACCATCAGGGTGCTTACTCTTGAAACCAATCTCAATGTCAATGCAATTGCAATCCAATGAAAACTCAATAAGGATTCAAATCAAAACAACCTCTATTGTAGCTGTTAAAATAGCATTCAGAGTACGGAATATGAAGTCAAACTAACTACCATTTAGTTCAATAAATATCTACGCAATACGGAGGCAATGGGCGCTAGTGTTGAATCTCCAGAGTACGAAATTTCACAATATCAATGTCGATCGATCGGAATTGGATTCAAGAGTAAGCCCACAGGTGACCGGTTTGCTCAAATGCCGCCCTGTACTATAAAAATTGATACTAAATTTACGATATTTTTCTTTATTTTTCACAAAATAATATCAATGTGACGACAATGCCCATTGTCTCATGACAATAATTTTGTTTTTCTATTAAAAAAAAATCTCGTTTCTTGTAGACGGCGCATGGCGCTGGCGTCGCTTTTAAGTATTTTCATTGGTGACTTAGGTTTTAAAAGTACGCTGATTGCACTAATAGACCCTTTACCCCCCATTAAAGCCATCTCGTCAACGTAAAAACAGACAATAAACTGACAGGATGTGACGCTTCCTTGGCGCCACTTTGGTCATACATCAAATCAAATGACGCATTGCGGATATGACGTGGATCTGCATAGAATTTAGGTATTCATACATCGATCTTGCTCACAGTACCTTCGGATATAACTCACGTCCTTGGCAAATGGCTATATGGCTATGCAGTCTGCGTGTTCAGAAGAAATTTTTTAAAATTTATAAAAAAAAATGTATCTATGATTGCAATGGTTTAGGAAGCTAGACTGTATTACATCGTGATACAACACTACATTTGAAAGTTCAAAGCCATTTCCATAATTAATTCTTTAGATCATGTCCACCGTTCGCTAGACATAGGCTTCTCCAGTAGCCACGCCACTGATTTTGATCTTCAATTCTTGCTGGCTGGTCTACTAAATGCTATTGCTAAAAGAAAGTGATATCAAAAAAGTATTCTTTCCAGTTAGAAACGAACTTCTAAAGAAACGTTAGGCAGAAATTTTAATTTTGGCTTTTAAAAACTCCATTCTTGAGTCTCAAAATATAAATTTTCCTTTGTCATAGGACGCGGAGCTCACAGCCCCCACCGTCGAAAATGTCCGCGTCGTGGTCAGAGTCCGGCCGATGGACCAGCGAGAGAAACTGGACGGGTCATACAGCTGCGTCTCCGTGGATGCCCTGAACAACACCGTCGCTGTTACCAGAAACAACGTGACTCCTCCAGAACCGCCCAGGGTCTACGCTTATGATGCAGTCTTCGACAGCAATACCAGTCAGGTTAGTGGTCTTTTTCAGGGGGGAAACGAACGGGAATTTCTGATGGTCAGCAATTGCAGCCGCACCTGGAACATTTGCAAGACCCAGACAGATTACTGAGTACCTTAATTATTGTCATGCTTTGGAGGAGAGTTTCTTGAGGCTTCCGGTAACTTCAGTTATACGGCGAAACATAACGCTAGCGTGGTTTCACCCTGGTTGTGGCTGCTCTTTATAGCATTTTCAGGCGTTTCTACAATTCTTTTAATTATAATGTTGATGAAGGTAACTATAGAAACTTGAACTGTCCTATGGAATACGTCTGTTTTCTCAAATTCTATGATTTTTTAAAAACTGAATTGAAGCTATAATTCACGCGTAAAACGGCAATTGTGACGTCATAGTTTCGTTTATTCAAATCAATTAACTGTCCAATGTTATTGTTTTACTGGTTTTAGAAGAATAGTCTATTGTTATTTTATAGAACGATCTTAGCTACCCATTTTCATAGAAAACTTACGGTTGTTCACAATTTGTCTCAGCCTTGAAGTAGATTGCAATTTGCAAGTCAGTATCACCGTCTCGCTCCTACGTTTCTGTTCCGCGTAATTTCGTCTCACTCACTCAACGTAGCTAACTTCACAGCGGTAGGAATATTTTATGCAGCGAATTCAATTTCGAGTTTTATGAAAAAGTATTTTATATTGCTAAGGAAAGCGCGACTACCAAGTACGGAAACTATTTGTAAAGAGTATAATTTTAACTTTTTCTGTTTTTAGAAATGCTCAATTTTATCACACAAGGCAATAGTGGCCGATGCATGGCAATAAGATCACCCCCGATTTAAAAAGTGGGGTTCTACATTCAACATTTTTATTCTTAGGAATAAAATACTTATTTTATCGTAACTATAAACTATAGTAGTCTCAAGTCGCATTACGGTCCTATTTCATTTTCATGTACCGCGGCAGTAGACTGCAGGTACCTTTTAATATTAAATGAACATCGCTCGTGGTTGATTGATCGATAACGTAGACTTGTATGATATTAGAAGTTATAGAAAATGCTTGAAGAAGTCTAGCTATTTTTGATAAGAACATGATGTCTTTATAAACGATAAGCGGAGGTTGCATGTATGTATGGGGATTAGGGATGACCGTGGGTGGTTTTTAGTCAGTAAGTCAGTCTGACACTCTCTCCTGCCTCTCCCAGGCGGGAGAAGTCATTCGATGATTTCCCCCTTAAAAAAAAGGACTATTCACTATACAGTACTTCAATGTTCCTGTGTTTTCACGGTTGTATCTGCTGTATATCCTAGCGTACAGGAGTTGCAGCGGTTTTGTGGTTGGTTTGTCCCAAAAAATACATTATCTCACATTCATCTCTGCATCACCTAAAGATAGACTGTTAGACAAAGTCTAAGACATTAAGTCTCGACTCTTAGACTTAGAAGGCATTAAGTCCTGTGTATGTGTGTGTGTACATGTATTTTTTTTACTAAATAAATAAATAAATATGTCATTCAGATAATTCCCAACAAAATTTTGTCTAACAAAGGGACAGTATAATGTACAGTTTTTTTTTATGAAACATTTTACTTCCAAGTCATCTGTTCAGTATTTTTTTAACATGAATAGTTTTCAGTTTACCGTATGATGATTTCTAGACTAAAAGAAAAAAAAATCGCGCTAGTTTTTGTCTTAAGTCACTCATTTTATACGCTCTCTCTGCAGTCTACAAAATTCACGAAAACAACAAAAAAGTATAGGTACTTACACAGTTTCACAAAGCTATGACGTCACGTGGTTAGTAATCTATACTTATAATAAATCTGTAGAGAGGTCAATTCTGTACATAAAATATATTTAAAAAATAACTATCAAGGGGTGATTAGGGATCGCTACTGATGCCAAAAATGCAATCAATAAAATTTTTGTCTGTCTGTCTGTCTGTCTGTATGTTCGTTATGGAAACAAAAATTACTCGACGGATTTTAACGAAATTTGGCACAATTATTCTATATACTCTTGGGCAGGTTATAGTATACTTTTCATTATGCTACGATCAATAGGAGCAGAGCAGTGAAGGGAAATATTGGGAAAACGGGAGAAGTTACTCCATTCATTAACTTAATACACAAGGAGTTACACGCTGACGGAGTCGCGGGCACAGCTATCTATACTTTTCTGCCGGAAGTCACTATTCCACGCGGACGAAGTCGCAGGCAAAAGCTAGTAAAAAGTAAGTCTTTTATTTCGTCTGCAAACGCGAATCTTTATTATAAAATTACATTTATAATGTATCTTTCGTGTTCTAGAATTTTTCCCTTTGTCTATTACTTTTTAAGTGGGAATAATGTAAAGGAATTGTTACTGCGCACTTAAATTATTACCTATTACTAAGTTGTGACGTCATAATTTAGTAAACAAAATAGAGTAAAAAGTAACAAATGTTTAACAGTTTAATTGTCAGGTCTGTGAAACATGCTTATTCGTATTACACCGGTATAATTACTATTTTTATTACACACAACAGCTGTTGTATACAACAAAAGTAACGATTTTCATGCTTACATAGTAGAAACGAGGATAATATTCATGCAATGGGGTTGCGAAGCATTGCGCGGCGCTCCCGGGGCGTAGTGACTGCCGTAAACTGGGTCACGACCCGAGCGCCACATAAAAATCGGAGTGGTGCGATCGACTTGCAACCAACCTGTTAGCAGTGCTGTACCGATCTCACCAAGAGACGCACCGCGGGCTCCGCGCGACCCGCTCCGGCATAATATCACCAACAAATATATTCCTGTGTTACTATTACATCCTAACTATTTTACAATATTGTGTTAAATATTATTCCTAATTTTTACTATTATTTAGTGGCGTTTTTGTGTATTATTTTGTGGGGATCCTGAAGAAAGAAGATAAAGATTTTTTTCGAAAACGCCCGTCTCTTCCATCCTTCGTCTCGACTGGCGCTGCTATACGCTTCAGTCTTGTCGAATGGTGGGTGAGATTTGCGTTATATCGTCGTGGAAGATGAGAAAACTACTAGCTGGAAGAATTTTCCGAAGATTTTTCTTTGTTTAATTTTTTTTTTGCTGCTAACCTCCTTTGTTTTACGTTAATTTTATTTCTGTCGATGGTAACTGTTCTTATTTTAAATTTTTCTATTAATTACGCGGGATTTTTTATCATTATGTGGAAATGTCATTTTCGTTATATTTTTTTTTTTGTATATTCGTTTGTACTTCGTCGCTGAAGAAAGAATTTCGTAATCCCTTTGTCTAGTAACTTCCGCGGCACGTGGCGTCGTCCTATTTTTTTAATGAGGTGACCTAGTTTCCCGCTTACGATTTATTGATTTTCAATACACCACCCGCGCTGCGTAACAGTTCTTTCTTGAATGACGACATTATTTTTAACAATAGATAAAAAGAACAAAGCACTGCAATCGGGGTTACGTTTTCAACACTATTGCGTGTTCACGCTTATTCTAATTTCAATAGTTTACGTTTTAGTCAACAAGGACTGAAATAGATTGAGAAAACGTAGCCCCGATGTCGTAACTTTACATTTTACAGTTCTGGAAACTCAGAGCTGTCTGACGTAAGATTCTTAGCGCTTCTTGTAGTACGTTGCGCGTAGACGTAAGTCTGATTACACCGCGCTGACTGTACTAGAAGACGGTAAGAAAATATAATGGTATGCATCTAGCAGTTGATGTCATCGGGCGGATGAAGACTTGAAGATTTTTCTTTAATATTTGTAAATATTTTGTACAGAAAATAGGCCTTTTGTGCTATTGCATTTAGATTACAATTTCCTGTGTATATTTTTAGCTATGCTCCGACTATGTATGTGGAGATTGGAGTTGGTCGACGATGTATGGGATGCCATTTTAATTTTTCAGCGGTTTCTTTGTTTCGTATAAGTAAAAGCGGAGGATTTTTGTTGGTTGCAAGTCGATCGAAACTACAGTTTTACGTAACATTCAATAGCTTTTTGATAAAAATGAGATTAAATACCGCAATACAAGAGAAAATCCTCGTCGTGGGTGCGTTTGTAAACACTATTTTATAGACATATTAGCTTTTACCCGCGGCTTCGCTCGCGTCACAAAAGGATAAAATGTAGCCTATGTGACATATACCAATACACACAGCGCCATCTATACCAATACTTTTGTTTTTCCTCGGGAATATCAATTTTCCGGGATAAAAAATACCCTATTATTTAATCCAGACTTCTAACTTTATGTCTGCAAAAATTCAAAGCCATCGGTTTAGTAGTTACGGCGTGAAAGCGGAACAAACAAACAAACAAATAAACTCACTTTCCCATTTATAATATTAGTAAGGACTAGCTTTTACCCGCGGCTTCGCTCGCGTCACAAAAGGATAAAATGTAGCTTATGTGACATATACCAATACACACAGCGCCATCTATACCAATACTTTTGTTTTCCCTCTGGAATATAAATTTTTCCGGGACAAAAAGTACCCTATTATTTAATCCAGACTTCTAACTTTATGTCTGCAAAAATTCAAAGCAATCGGTTTAGTAGTTACGGCGTGAAAGCGGAACAAACAAACAAATAAACTCACTTTCCGATTTATAATATTAGTAAGGAAGTAAGGCTAACATCACACTCGAATTCGGAACATTAATTTGTAGATCACATAAAGAATTAGGTAGAATAAATTACTTAACCGCTTGAATATGTGAGACACAATAGAAAATACATTGTCTCGCGTGGATCCACGTTTAGACACACGACGAGTTCAACAATACAAAACATTATTGAAAAGTACATAATTTCATTGATTGATTTGACGATACTTAACTCGTCGAGTACCGTCATTAAGTATAGACACAATTATAGAACAATAGGTTGCTGTCACCGATGACCGCTTGGTGTTTGACAGTTTAAACTTAATTCAGCGAGTTATTTTTTTTAAGTAAGTCTACGTAAAAACATCATGCCTTCAAGTTGCATACAAAATTCATAAAGAAATTATT